AGGTTCAATGAGATTTGTAAAGGGCACAATTTACAAAACCCATCACATATTTTACTAGGCTGGGATTTACGGATTAGCCTGTAATACTTAGGTGGCTTTTTGTAATAAAACCCTGAGCTGCAGCAGCCCTGGGAAAGCGAGAAGGTGGGAGCCGGCGCCTCTCCATCCCGCGCTCATTTTCCCAGCATTTCTCCCTCTAATTTTTTTTCCTTGATCTTGGCAACCCCGTTAATCCAGGCTTTATCTGCCCATGGAGGAGGCCTGAGCTCTTTATTGGATTTTTGTCAAGAATAAATGATTTTGTTCGGGATATTGCGGAAACGGTTTCCGCGGCTTCAGAGCATCCCACAAAGGGCAGGGCTGGGCTCAGCTTGCCTTCTCATAGCGTCACTCGGCCCGGATTTTCCAGCACCCCCTGCTCCGGGCAGCATGTGGCCACATTCCCAGCAGTATGGCCAGCTCCAATTCCCAGTAGCTGCATTCGGCTCCCCAAAAGCAGGAGATGGGCCTGGAGCGAAGGGGGCTCCTTGGGCGCTTTCCTGCTCTGCAAGGAGCCGGGCTGGACATGGGGGTCGGCAGCACCTGCAAGGCACCGGGCGAGCACGTGGGGTTTATGGAGCCTCCTCATTAAGCAAATCCTTCGGGAATGGAAATCCCTCAGCTATCAGGGTGGGCAGGAAGCCAACAGCAAATGCCATGGCCATGGAGCGGGGTCCGGGTGGCCGGGATGCACCGTGGTCCCGGCGGAATCGCCCCGCTGGAGCACACGCCGTGTGTGCAGATATGAAAGGTTCGTCACAGGGTGACACCTGCTAATTGCAGAGCTCCCTTCTGGCTGGGCTCAGGTGGCAGCACCCAGTTAGTAGGCGTCAGTGGGGAAAAAAAGGGAAAGGAAGGAAGAAAAAGGAGCGCGAGGACCTGGCTTCTGCTCTGCACCGAGCATGGGGCAGCTGCGCTCCTTTGGAGCCAGACACGTGTCAGGGCCCTGGCAGCATCTCCTCTTCCTCCCAGCCCGCTCCCGGGCCCTCGTCCCCTTCTGTATGCGGGAAAAGGTCACACTTCAGCTCTGGTGAAGGAGCGAGGAGCAGAGCAGCGTGAACGGCCTCAGCCCCAGGTTTACCCGAGAAATTCCCTTTCTTTGCAAGGAAATCAGCAGTGCCGGGGTCACTCCCTGCCTGACATGCGAGTCCTGCGGATGCAGCTGCAACAGCTCTCAATGTTTTTGCTGCAATTAGAAAGATTTTCCAGAAAAGAATAGCCAGGGGATGGGAAGAGCAAAGGGGCCTGGGCCGCTGGCAGGACACGGTGCCGTCCTCACGGCATCTTCCTGGCTTCCTCCTCCCAGCATCTTTCCAGCCTCCTCCCAGCATCTTCCCAGCATCATTCCAGCATCCTCCCAGCACCCTCCTGCTGCTTCCCGGCCCCGCAGCCCTGGAAGGTGGACACGGCTTCCCACGCTGCCACAGGATGAGTGTCCCCAGCTTTCCTGAGTCCCGGAGCAGCCATGGGGGGACAGGGATGGGGATGGGGATGAGGATGGTCCAGGTGGCTGGACTCACTTCACAACCACAGGAGGAAAATTAGGCCAAAGCTGGGCCCGCGCCCGCTCGCTACTGCTCCCTCCCTCCCTCCGAGTGATCATCGCCCTCATTAAAAAGTGACTAATTATTATTCTGGCTCATTAGCAATTATAAATCTGCAGCTCTGGTACTTCATTAAAAAAAATGACAAGTTAGCACTTAATTATGTTCCCCGCAGCCCGTCGGGTGCCAGCGTTAACCCTCCCCATCCTGCCCCCAGGAGCACCCACGCCGGCCCCACGCTCCGGGGGGAACATTGGGTTCCCAAAGGATCCCCAGTTCCATGGGGGGTTCCCCGGGCACAGTCGGCCTGCACTGACACCCTAATAGGCCCTTAGATCCCTCTGGAGGGTGGGAAAACTTCCAGCTGCAGAAGCCGCTCTGCAAAACCGCATCACCTTCCCTGACAGCATAATTGCTCCTTTTCCCCGGGATTTCATGCGGATCTCGCATCTGTAAGCGCCAGGCTGTTATTTTAAGGGCTCCTGGCGGTTTTTCTCTCCTCTCTCAGGTAACACGTGGCAGCCGGCTGGAGCGGCTCGGGCTGGGAGATGCTGATGCCGGCACCGGGAGCCGGTCCCGGCTGTCCAGAGCCCCCACGGCGCCCACGGGTGGAAGTCCATAAATATATTAGTTATAATCCCTGTATCGCTTCTCCATCACTCATTATTTAATTGGCCTTCCCATGATTATCTTTCCGGTGCTTCCGCGACGCTCTGGCGCGATGGAGCCACAGCCACATTGGGCACCGTCCCTGCCACCAGGCTGAGAGCCGATGCGGC